TTAAGAAACAATCAGACATTAACATTACTTAATTTTCTTTTTTTAAAAAAATTCTTTTAGTACTTTTTTTTTTGAGAGGTTTTTGCTATAGGGTACGTGTGCTCACCAGACAGAGAGACAGAGAGATAGAAAGCGAGAAATCACTCTCCAGGGGGGATGACCACGCTGCAATCCCTTCTCCTCCATTCTCCTCTCGGGATCTTGGGCACGCACGCACATGTGCCCGGCGTGAGCTTTAAGCCACCAGGTCCGGGAGGCAAACCACGGTCAACTACATGGGAGTCCAGCGACATAGCCATTACGCTAACTGCTGGTCCCAACATTACTTAATTTTAATGAGATGATTTTATTAATTTGGAGATAAAGGACATCACTGAAAAGCTGTGACTGTTAATAAATACCTGCACAGCCAGATGTGCTTGTGTTTGCTTTTAGAGAATTTTTGACATGAACACACACTTCATTCATTTGTACTCATTTTTCTCTTTTTTTTTTTTTTGAGAGGTTTTTGCTATAGGGCACATGTGCTCGCCAGACAGACAGAGACAGACAGAGACACAGAAGCGAGAAATCACCCCCCAGGGGGGATGGTCACGCTGCAATCCCTTCTCCATTCTCCTCTCGAGATCTTGGGCACACATGCACATGTGCCCGGCGTGAGTTTAAGCCACCAGGTCCAGGACTCGAACTGTGGTCGACTACATGGGAGTCCAGTGACAGTCATTACACCAACTGCTGGTCCCATTTGTACTAATTCCTGATAGCTCCTTGATTGCTGAATATAAGATGGGGACAAAGACAGTGGGTCTTTGCTGACACCCCCTCTGTGCTCACAGCCCTTGCCAACGAAGGGTCTCAGGCCAAGGCATCACTGCCTTGGCCGTGTGTTTTGCTACTGGCCCCAGAATCAGAGTTCTGTGATGAGATGATACAATGTGTGAAAGAGTTAAACTAAACGATCATGCTGGCATGATGGTTCAGGTGCTGGACTCCCACAAGGCTGATCATGGTTCAAGTCCTGGACCTGGCAGTTGGATAAATAACTTTGGGTGTGTGTGCATGTGTGCTCCAAAATCCCAGTAGGAGGATAGAGGAGACAGGATTGCATTGTGGCCATACCCCTGGGTGGTAATTTCTCACCTTCCTTCTCTCTCTCTGGAGAGTGCACATGCCCTATGGCAAAGCTAGTATAGGAAATAGTACAACTCCAGTTCTAGTCTTTCAAAGAATTATCATTTTTCAGGCTTTCAGTTCATAATATTTCCATTATGAAATAACTATGCCCTATCCTATACCCTAGGCCTTGCATGACTTGGTAGACTTGAGTGTAGGAGATTCCAAAGCAAGGTGACCAGCTGAGCTTGCAGTTACAGGCTCAGGGCGATGTAAGAACACTCAGTCCTGTTCTGATAAAAGTGTGAGGCCATTTGTTTAGAAGATGAATTTTAATTACACTATATTTAGTGCAAACTACGTTTCTTCCTTTTCATGTTCCTATTGCATAAGAATTAAAAATAGACTCTGTAGGGTAAACAACTTTGAAAGTTGCTTTTCTGTTGAAGTTTATTTTTCAAAAAATGTTGAAGAAAAGCAACATGCTAAAAAGAGAGCTGGCCATTGTAGCATCACAAAAGACAACACATTTCTATTAAGGCAGAGTTTCCGAGAGATTTTTCTACAGAAACATATTGCCGCAAACCTCTAAGACCTCCCAAAGTAGGGGGACCAGCAGTTAGTGTAATGGCTATGTCACCGAACTCCCAAGTAGTAGACCGCAGTTCAAGCCCCGGACCCGGTGGCTTAAACTCATGCCAGGAGTGTGTGCATGTGTGCCCAGGATCCCAAGAGGAGAACGGAGAAGGGACTGTGGCATGGCCATCTCCCCTGGGGGGATGATTTCTCTTTCTCTCTCTCTGTCTGTCTGTGTTTTTCTGGTGAGCACGCGCGCCCTATAGCAAAAATCTCTCCAAAAAAAAAAAAAAAAAAAAAAGACCCAAAGTGAGCAGACCCCCTTTACGTTTCTGAAGCAGAACAGACCTGTTGCCTGAGAGGTGGCTTATTGATCCAGCTGCTAGGCACTAGGGTGGCAGGTCGCTGACAACTGTCTGTAGGAAAATATTCCACCCCCACCACACAAGGTACAAACCGGAGGAGAGCCTTTGAAATGGCACGTGAGCACTGAAAGGTAATGATGATTGGAAACACCTGCAGGAAATGTAGCACTTTTATTAAGAAACAATGATTGTACAATTCAAGATAAAACCCAGATGTCTGACGAGTTGTTTCAGAAGGTAAAAAATAGCTCCTTGTAAGAAAGAACGGGCAAGACATTCCATTTGGCAAGAACATTTTATTCATAAAATCTCCCATTCTTCCTTAAGTCTCTGCTCAAATAACTTCCAAGGCTGGAAGCCGCGGTGTGATATTTACACAGCTCAAAACCTGAATGCTCACTAATGTCTTTGGCTCTTCTGCAGACCCTACTGCTTTCTGCCTCCACCCCTATCTTTGTTCCTAACACATAACACTGAATGCAGAGCTCAGAGGCTGGATAAATAAAATCCCCATTTCTCTCCCCCACCTAACTTGGAGGAAATCCTACTTTTTTTTTGGAGGATGGAGCCATTCTTTGGAATGAAAGAAACAAGCACAGAAATGATTTGTGATTACGAGTGATACACAAAGACATTTTTTATCACGCTGGGGAATAACCGCCCTACTCCACTACTCTCTGTGGTTCACAGTCGTCTTCTTTACATCTCAAAAGATACGAATAATTCAGTGTGCCAAAGGAATTATTACGACTTTTTTTTTTTTAAAGGCCCTTGGTCTACATGTAGATCAAGTTTCCTTTTTCACTCATCTCTGGTTCTTTTGCAGTCTGCCTCGCTTGATTCCATTGGAGGGGCTTGGGTAAAAATGGTTAGTAGTTTAGGTAGGTAACCGTCTGGAGAGGTGTCTGTATGACCCTGGGAATGGGCGAATAGACGATGATCTCCAGGCACCAGCGGATGCCAACTACACCAGCTACGAGGATATAAGCGTGTGTTGCCACCAGGCTAACTACTTGAAAACTGTTTCAGAATCTCTGATGCCCCGATAGGTATCTCCTTGCACTTCTCCTCAAGCATCAACTATGTAAGGTGCTGAGTAATCTCCAATGCGCTTCGTCCTACCACCAGGCAACAGAGCGCGCAAGACGTCCGGTGGCCGGCTACACACTGACAGCGATCCCTGCTGCGTGTCCCCCTCTTGTATCCCTCCATTCTTTCTCTTGCATGGAATCTTGGGGATGTTTCCCCCCCCCTTTTTTTTTTTGCTAACCAGCTGATAAAGTCTGGGAACAGGTATCAGATAGAAACCATGAGATGGTTTCTCAAAAACTTGAGGGAAGAAGAGATCTCGGCAAACATTCATTTATTCATGTAACACGACTCATAGTGTCTATGCCGGGGCTGGAGACACAGAAATGAAGACATGATCCCCAGCCCCTCCAGCCCTGGAATGTCTACTGTGAGGAAGGTGCTGGAAAAAGAACATACCACAAAGCCAGGAGGGACTTGGTCTCCTGACCATCTTGATACGTGGTGGACGTATTCCAAAGACTCGTTCTTTTCCTTACAAATATGTGTAGACTCGTTTTCAAATATCACATCAGCCAATAATAATAATGAATACATTTTCTCTATCTTGACAGTTCTTTCAATCTAAGAATGAACTGCCACACATAGGATTCGAGCACATTTTTCAGGAGAGAGCTACTGAGACCAAAATACTTGGGCTCCCTAACAAAGGCTGAATTACTCCTAATTCTATATGTCACAAGCTGAAGAGAGAAAGCTACAATCAATGTAGGATCTTGATTTCAGATGTCGATGGTGTAATTCTCCGTATGTATTTGTGTATCTGCTCAGGCCCGTGCCAATCTGTCCGCTGACGAACGTGTCCATCGGCCCAGAGATAATTCACTGGTTTGTAATTATTCCTGATCTAATGTTTTTCACTTCCCTCTCCACAGGTATCTGGTGCTGTTGTGTGAAACCAACTAGACACAGAGTAATATATAAAGCAAAATATAAAAACTACTGTTTTCCAAACACAGAAAGGCATGGTGGTAAGGATTCTTACCCCCCACCTTGGGCTGTAATCCAACATACAAACATTTCTAAACTAACCCTTCATGTTCACACTCACTGACACATATGTTCACACCACTGCCAGATAGTCTCACCCTTATAGACGCAAGCCCCCTAATAGCCATCGTCGTACGAATGTATAATGAAATGCGTACGCAGGGTGTAAATACCCGGTAAAGCCCCACGACACATCCAGAGGCCCCAAAGAATAGAGGCATAAACAGAGGTGAGATCATGGGTTTTTCTCAGTAGAGAATACTACAAGTGAATGGAGATTCACAGCGGGCAGGAGAGAGGCAAGGTGCTCAAGAAATGACCACAGGTGTTTTCTAGAATCCTTCCAAAATATCACGTGCTCGGGACCAGCAGTTAGCGTAATGGCTATGTTGCTGGACTCCCATATATTCGACCGCAGTTTGAGTCCTGGACCAGGTGGCTTAAACTCATGCCGGGCACATGTGCGTGCGCGCCCAAGATCCCAAGAAGAGAATGGAGGAGAAGGGATTGCAGCGTGGCCATGACCCTTGGGGGGTGATTTCTCGCTTTCTGTCTTTCTGTCTCTGTCACTCTAGCGAGCGCACGCACCCTATACCAAAAAAACCTCTCCAAAAAAAAAAAAAAAAAAATCACATGCTCGATCTTCCCAGAAGACAAGAAGACGTTTGTCGCATGTGGTACAGAGCGACTTCACTGTCACGGTTTTCCTCTGCATGAAGCTCTGCCCAAACTCCAATACTCCAGAGCATTTTATTTTTAGTTAACTGGGCAAGAAGGAGGGGAAAAAAAATAAATAAAATCAAACAAACACACTACTATTTGGATTGTGTCAAAATATTTTAGAACTTAATATAAATTTACCAAGTGTATTAACAGTTGTCTTAGCTGGATGAAAAAGAAAACAAAGGACCGAAAATAAAAGGACTAATTAAAATGAAAAGGACAGCATTTGTAATGTGACAAAAGAATTTTAACGAAGGCTATGTAGACACTAAATGACCATAATACAAATACTCCTCATCTTCTCCTTCTCCTAGCCAAGCTGAAACGAGGAGAGGTGTGCACAGACACACACACACACACACACACACACACACACACTTTTTGCCCAGTGTTCTTTTCCTATTTCAATTTTTCTCTGGCATAGTTTTGGATGTCTTAAATACCAAACCCTTTTGTAAACAAACTGCATTCTCTATGAAGCACAAAATCACATGGTCTTGATCCAGAGAAAGAGAAACAATTAGAGATTTTTCTCCTCTAGTCTGCTAGGACTCTGGTCCTCTTACAAAACAGATCCTTTTCCTTTAATAAGAGTTGAAAAACTGGGACTGGCGGGTGGTGTGGTGGTTAAGGCGCTGGACTCTCACATGGCCAACCAAGGTTCGAATCCCAGACCTGGAGGTTTGCTTTCCTACTTTCCCCTTCTCTCTCTCTGGTCAAACAAAACAAACAATAATGATGATAATAAATAAAATAAAATAATTCTTTTAAAAAAAAAAGAATTTGAAAAAATTTTTGGCCTGGATTGAAAAATCAGTTAACCAAAGGGAATCATTTCTCTTTTTAATTTTAGCTTTTAAAAGTTTTAACAAGTATTTCCTTATATCTAACTACTAGAGAATAGCCAATTCACAGGCATTCTAGGCATTCCGTACCTGCCTGTGCTCGTCTATTGTAAGTGTGATCTAATCTATGCTCCATCCCTACATATCCTCCTAGAAGTAAGACTGGCAAAGGTACTCGCACTGAGACACACTCTAAAATCAGAATCTAAAACCGAATGGGCCCAGTAAAATGCTGTCTGAGTACCTCAACAAGTTTCAAATAACTGAAAACGATAATATCTCCTGTCAACAGGGTGATACTGTTACGTAAGGTTATATCCTATTAAAGAGTCACCCAGAGATTCCAGATATGTGCCAATCAAATATCCCCAAGGGATAGGTTCTTCTAGTAAGTGTTGAGAAAAAGTAGCTTTTATTGTTTTCCTTTTTAAGAGGGTATTTATAGCACCATCAGTCTGAGGAACTCCACATATTTCAAAGCAAACAGCTTTTGACTCCGTGAATGGAATCAAATCTAATTTAGCATCTTTTAGAATAGACCATTACTGGCGCTTGAAAGTTGTCAATGTCTAGAACAATGAATGGGTCTGTAGACCTGGTGACTTAGGTGGACAGACCGTATCCATATTTTAAGCAAGAAAAAAAGCTGAGGCAGCTTAAATGACTTCCTCAAGTGAAGCTGAGGCTCTAGGACATGTATCTGCACTGTCACTGCTCAGACCCATCAGAAATCAGCTCCAGCCCCTGGAGTAAACATGCCACGCTGTGGAGCAGGCTGGGAGACACAGAGAGCCACGTCTCAGTTCACGAACACCATCTGCGCAGTCCCGCAAACGATGAAAGACCTTTGTCTATATGCAAAAAGGGAAGTGATGAGGAAGTCCACCTGCTTACGGAAGAGTGTGTTCCACTGAGTTTACTGAAGGTCGGTGGCGAAGTGAAAAAAGGAAAAGACCAGACTCACATGTTCTTCGATCGCACACACGCTACATGAGACATGAGGACACACACATAAACACATGCTAGCTGACAGCGTTTTTCTTTCTCAAAATTATCCCATGAGAGGAAAACCAGACCTCTGAAATGATTAGCAAAAAGAGGCATGTTCCCACATATAATTACACCACATATATTCTCTCCCTGCAGTAATCATCAAGATACCTGACCGGAGAAAAGGAGTATTACTCTCACTTGGAGTTGTGATTTGCCCTGTCTTCTACACCATGCCCACACCCATTCTATTTCTTAGTCTACTCATCCACTTGGCTGGACAGGCATCTGAGAGCTGCAGGCTGGCAGAGCTGAGTGGTGGAGCCTCTTGAAGCTTGAACTCCCATTCAGGACCAACTGTGTGAGTGCCTGGCTGGGCCTACGAGGGAAGCTGTGGCTCTCAGGGTATTAAACAGGGCCAGGGGCTTCTAGGCCACCCTGCTCTTGGCCAGTGGGCGTCATGGACAAGCTGAGGGAATCTACTGCACACACAACTTTCCGTTCTTCCTGACCTTGTGGGATTAGTCTAAGGACCAAAGGCAAAAGAGGAGAGTAGCCGCTGACTTTTGCATGGGGGTAGAAAAAAGCAAATCGCAGGAAAGGGAGTTCTACCAGTCCTGCTCAAGTATCACCAGGGCTCAGCTCACCGGGCCACCTGCTTCTTTCCCAACGGGCTGGAGGAAGCCCGCCCCCACGTCTCGGTTCACTTGGCTACTCAGATGTTCCTGTGCATGATGGCTCCTGGAGCATCTGACTGAGTGAAAAAGAAAAAAATGCTGCTAGGGATCGGTAAGGTGACAGGAGGGAAAAGAGATGAGGCCCCAGGATAAAGACTGTTACAGGAGAAAATGATCAGAACAGTGACCAGAGGCATAATCTTGCCCTACACTATGGACGCTAAACCAGGAGCTCCGGAGACTCAATTCAATAAACAAGTCGAGTACTGAATATTTCGGTAAACAAAATAGAAATAACAAATGGACAGGCTGTTTAATAGTACAGCACTGCTCTTTTTCCTAGTTTAGGGTTCAGGGATTTCTATTCAGAGTCTACAAATGTTGATCTATATACCCGTGAGAAATCTGAGAAGGCCTCTCCTTCTGACGGTTCTCTGGTGCATGTTTGGCTCGATACTGGGGATCATTCTGCGTTAGCAGCCGAGAAAGGGAAGCCAGACCTTCACTGGATCCCCCAGACCCGGGTCCATCTGTCCCAGGCAGACCTCAGTTTTTCTTGCTGTCCTGCTGAGGCTGACTCTTTGTGGTCCCCAGATTGTTCCACACCTCTGTGTACATTACAGTCCCAATGAAGACAAACACAGTGCCCAGCCAGTGCCACAGGGTGAACGGATTCTGGAAGTACAAGATGGAAAAGATGAGGCTCACGAACTTGCGCAGCGTCACGACCAGGGTGACGGTGAGGGAGGCGCACTCTGTGGTGAGGATGAACACACCCCGAATGCACACATACCTGGAGGAGTGGCGTTAAGGTATTTCTCTGTGGACCACACTTGGGGGATCAATGGAGAACCTCCTGGCACAGTTTTCTGCTTAAACGTACACGTTCTAAGAAAACTCAGAGGTCTGGGGGCTACTCCAAGACTACTCCTTGGTAGAACATCCTGCAGAATTCCTGAAATGCCATTCCATTTAGAGATCCCAATTCAAAACTTCCTAAAAGCCTCTCATTATTCCTTTTTTTTCTTTTTAAGGTTTTCCCATAGGGTGCCTGTGCTTGCTAGAGAGATACAAACAGTGAGAAGAAGAGTGAAAAATCACCACTCCCAGGAGGATGGCCACACCACAGTCCCGTCTCCTCCATTCTCCTCTTGGAATTTTGGGCCTGCATGCACACATACCCAGCATGATTTTTAAGTTGCCAGGTCCGGGACTTGAACGAGGTTGGCCATGTGGGAGTCCAGCACCTTAGGCACTAAGCCATCATTCTTATTGTGGACTGTTGTCACAGTTTACAAAGAGGGTCATCTCTAAGGGTGATCCTGTTCAACCTTTACTGATCCTGTCTCCAGTTCGCCCTCTAAAACAGAACTCTGCATGGCAAATCTGTATCAGGCAACTGCAGAGGAATGAGGCCAATCTCTGTTTCACTATTTTAAAGACGTCAATAATAAACTTAAGGTCATTCAAAATAACTATTAAAATTAAGTCCTGATTAACTTGAAATTTCTTTCAGAATATTGTGGCAGGTTATGGTCATGACCACTGGAAATATCCTAGGATACTGGAAAACCCCATGCCAAAATTACACGTCATTCATGTCAAACTTTTTCCCCTCAATATGGTGGCTGAGCTCGCTGGAGAGAGACAGAGAGAGGGACAGTGAGAAATCACCCTCCGGGGGAATGGCCATGCCACAATCCCTTCTCCTCTATTCTCCTCCTGGAACCTTGAGCACGCACATTCTCCGAGCATGAACTTCAAGTCACTGGGTCTGAGACTTGAACAGCAGTCAGCCATGTGGGATTCCAGCACCTTAACCACCATGCCACTTGCTGGTCCCATATGGTGGTTTTTAATAAGTCAGTGGCCCTATACTTCTACCCTAAGCATCTCTCCCCACTGCCCTGGGACTTACTGACCTATGGTACCACTAACATCTCTTCTGCCCTCTACAAAGGAACTCCCTGAGTAGGTCTCTTTGTCCCCTATTTACTGCAGAATAAATCAAGGCACAAACCAAGCTCATGTCACAGCACTGGCGAAAGGAAGTAATAAGAATGCCATGCCAAAATAACACGGAGAAGACATATATATAACAAAGGAGTCCGAAGGATACTGCGTGATCACGTTCATGAGGAGGTAGAACCACATGATGGGCATTGTCACACCAATGACTGGAACTTGATAAAATTCTGCAAAGATAAAGAAAGATATCATCATATCACCTTTTAAATGATATCTTATAATTACATTGACATATAATAACTGTACATACTTATTGACAGCTAAACTATTTGTCTTTGAACAGGGTAACATAGATTGGATATAACAGGAATAGCAATGCTATTTCCCTTACATATATGATTGGACCATTCATCCCTTCACCTGTCTCAATTGCAGTCTATAGGTGATGCAACAGTCGCCAAAACAAGTAGTAATTAAAAAAAAAAATTTTTAAATAAACTCGTTACCATTTACCTGAATAAAACCCCACTTTACAAAGAAAGACTGTGAAGCAGAGAAGTTCAAAATGTTCTGCCCTAACCGAAAATTAAAACAAGAGAAAAGACAGTGTAACTAGACGCCATTTAGAAATGCGCTCAGTTCTACCAGTAATTAATGAATTTCAGATCAAATGAGATTGTGCCACTGTTTAATTTTTACTTGTGTGTGTGTGTGTGTGTGTGTGTGTGTGTGTGTGTGTGTCTGTATGTGGTGTTTTAGACAGTCTTACTGTGTCTCCATACACTGGCCTCAGCCTCCCAAATAGCTAGGACCATAGGCGTGTGCCGACCAGGCTAGAAACTGAACTAGGCTGCCATTCGGCAGTACCTGGCACTATCCATGTGCTACCATGGCTGGGCCTGTACTGTTTCATATCTACTAAATTAGCAATTCGAAATTTATAAATAATATCCTATTCTGGCAAGGTGGTAGTAGAACTGGCAGTCATTCAGTGGGTGGCAGTATACATTGGTGTAAAGTTAATTTCAGCAATCCTAGATAATGCAAAAGAGAGAAAAATACTGTTTGCAGTAAAGAAAACTTCATTCTCAATGTAAATATTCTATGACAGAGCCATGGTTATATAAGCAAAAGTACTTTAGGGCCATCTCCTGGTGTGTTAAGGTGGCTGGATCCCACATGGCCAACTGCATGATTCAAGTTCCAGACCAGTGGCTTGAGAAAACACACCAGGAATGTGTATGTGAGTGCCCAGAGTCCTGACAGAAAGGAAAAATAAAGAAGGGACTACAGCGTGGCTTTTCCCCATGGGATGTGCTTTCTCATTTTCCCTCTTCCCTGTCTTCTTCTCTCTGGTGAGTGCACGTGCTCTCTGGAGAAAATTTTAAAAGAAAGGTACTTTAGATAGATAAGGGATTATATATTTGATAAAAACAAAAACTAAGGACCAGCAGTTAGTGTAATGGCTATGTCGCTGGACTCCCATGTAGTCGACTGCAGTTCGAGTCCCAGACCCGGTGGCTTAAACTCACGCTGGGCGCGTGTGCGTGCATGCCCAAGATACCGAAAGAATGGAGGAGAAGGGATTGTGGCGTGGCCACACCCCCAGGGGTTGATTTCTCGCTTTCTATCTCTGTCTCTCTGGCAAGCACACGGCAAAAACCTCGAAAAAAAAAAAAAAAGCTAGAGGGGTCAGTAAGTGGCCTGGTGGTTAAGGCACTGGAATCCCACATGGCTGACTGTGGTCTGAGTCCCAGACCCAGTGGTTCACTTTCTTACTTTCTCTCTCTCTCTATGAGCACATTTGCCCTATAGCAAACTTAAAAATAAATAAATAAATAATAAAATAAATTATTTAAACCCACCCCCAAATTAGAAAGATTATATCCTTGCATGAAGAAATTCAGAAAAAGTGTGAAAAATACAAAATTATATTTATACAAGTATTATAACTACATAGGAATATATGTAAACAAACAATGTCTGTCTGGAAAAAACTGGCATAAATAAACTGACTTTTTAAAATTTGAAAACTGACCAAAAAAGGAGGTAAAAAAATATTCAGATGAATATTCAGCTCTCTTGGAAAATTCAAGGATCTCAGACACCCAACCTCAAGACAAGCAAGAGATGAAAAGTATCTGCTTAATTTGAAGATGATTCTGAAGAAGCTGAAAGTGGATTCTAAAGACATTTTATCATAAATACCCACTTTGTGACTATTAGAAGCAGCATTCTAGTAACTAAATTAATCCCGTGGAATTTAATAACTTTGATTTCAACAACCCTTTGTTATATGGGGAACTCTGAGGTCTTAGAAGCTGCTGCACTAGTAATTAATGATTTTCTGAGAAACTCAGAGCCTTCCAAACTTTCTTACACACTATCTTCCTCATGGTTTTTCTTCCAAATGGGAGAGGGGACGCTGCAAACGTAGACAGCAGCCATAACTTCACAACTCATGCCACAGAGCGAGTAAATGTCCTACCGAGCACCCTGCCGCTCTATAAAATGCACTTCCGATCTTGCTGTATACACAGAGAGCTCTGATTTTAAAAGTGTTTGTTCCTAGTGCTCTTATTTGTCTGTGTAATACTCGATTAGCAGATAATTTGATCACATAAGTGATTTCTTTCAAGTTAACTAACAATCTCGAGCTAAGGTGTTAAGTAGTCATGTCATTTAGTTTAGGTCCAAAAGGGGAAAGGGAAAGCCATTTCAAAAATTTCCCGGGGGAAGGGGAGTATTCCTCGCTTTCCCTCTCTATGTCTCTCTCCAGCAAGCACATGTGTCCTACAGCAAAAACCTAAAAAACAGAACAAAATAAAACAAAAGTAATAGCTAACTTACACTGTGGACACTTGAACTAATTTTGCTTATTCCTGCTTCCTGTCTAACCTATAACCAGGAGACAAGCCCAGTGGCCAGCGCTTCCCTCTTGCTCTGCTCAAGGCAGCAAGATCTGTGAGTATCTCCACCTCACACAGACAGGGTAGCTGAGACCTCCTGAGCATGCTGGTGCTATTGGTTTGCATTCTAATCAAAGAGTCAAATACTCCACATTCAAATAAATGCAAATGCACAATGTCCAAAATTTGCAGATATCCTCGTAATACATTTGCAAATAATTGAGAAGGGCCTGTGAAAGCTTTTGCTGGGGCAACGACTGCTCACCAGTACCACATTCCTGCCATAGGGCGGGCGCCACCACGCCCATGCCAGTACCACATTCCTGGAAGGAGAAATGGGGATGGTTTTGAGAGGGATGGATGATTTGGACAAGACCACGAAAGAAGCTATGGTCGAGCCTACTGTAAAACTGAGACTCTTCCTCAGGTGCTGTCAGATCATTCTTCTGTATAACGCCAAACTTACCAGACTTATTGAATAGAACTGCATGGTCATAAATATCAGAAGCCAAGAAGATGAAACCAGGAAGTGGAAGGGCATGCTAAGGAGAGAAATAGATCACACAAATTTAATGGCAACAATATAGACTCAGTAGCTTCACACTGACTGGAAGTTGTATCAAGTTTGACAAGCAATATACAGAAAAGCAAGTTACATTTATTATTAAATGCATTCAGGGCTTCTGACCACTTGATGTTATGACAAGATAACAACTCCAGAAGTGTGCTTCTTGCCCTTTTAGAGACAAAGCAAGCAATGGGACCGTATCCTTTCCTCAACCAAAGGGAATGGGGAAATTTCACACATAGTCATTCTGCTCTAAAACATTTGTTGTATATGCTATTTTTAGAAAATGTTAAGCCACCATAGGGATTTAAAAATCCTAAGGAATGCAGAGTCAAATTTCAGGAATTTTTGGAAATCAGTGGGAAAAGGTATTTGAAGATAATATGAGGTCAGGGAAAAAGGAAATAACGACAATATAAAAAGGCTGGAGAAGAAGAGGAAACAACAGGTAAACAAAGATCAAGGTGCCTGAGAACAACAGCCCACCACCACCAGAATAGCAATCACGAATCCCGGCTACCATTTATTGAGCTGTTACTATGTGCCACGCATTGTTCTAAACAGGAGATGTAAACCAAATAAAATGTTTAACTAAGCAAGATTCCTAGCCTTGTATTCTAGCTCAAATTAAATATCGAATTGCTTGTTGGTGACTTCAGTACAAAAAGTTGGCAGTGAATGGGAACCAGCAGTTAGCCTAATGGCTATGTCGCTGGACTCCCACATAGTTGACCGCGGTTCGCGTCCCGGACCCGGTGGCTTAAAAACTCATGCCGGGCATGTGTGCGTGCGTGCCCAAGATCCCGAGAGGAGAATGGAGGAGAAGGGATTACGGCGTGACCATCCCCCCTGGGGGGTGATTTCTTGCTTTCTGTCTCTATGTCTCTCTCTGTCTGTCTGGCGAGCGCACGCGCCCTATAGCAAAAACCTCTCCTAAAAAAAACTTGGCAGTGAAAGGATGCCCCAGGTAACAGCACGAGACAACTATTTCACCTTGACCTTGAGTGGTTAGGCTCTGGCATATCTCAAGAGGAAAGAGGGAGGAGGAAAAACCAAGGTGCAGGGAGTGGATCACAGAGGTTCAAGTATGTATAACTAATGAAGCTCTCTGTCAAACAGAGTCTGCCTGGGAGACTTACTCTGCAGACAACCATCTTCCCCAAACTCCTACAGCTGCCTGTTGTACACATCCCTCCCACCCCCTGCCCAGATATGTTACTTTTAGAACTTACATTTCCTTTCCAGGTTTCTATATTGGTTTTAACCTGATTTCACCCACAAGAACACTGCAGGTTAGGGTTCCTTGTTCTATGGGGCTCATGGACATGCTTTACTCACACTGACTATCTGTGGTCATCACATGTAGAGAACTGTGGTCAGAATGCACATTAGCATCCTATCAAATGTACTTTAGTCTTTGGGTCTCAAAGCCATTTACTAATATTGTTTAAAAAAAAAAACTGATTCTTCAACTACAACAGAAGGATGACATACTTAACTTGAGATAACATATCACAACTCGGGAATTTTCATCTTTCCCGGGTCCAGGAAGTTGCTTACATTATAAAACAAAGCCTCCTTGGAGTGCTTCCCAAATTGTTTATATAGGGTCTCTTGGAATATACCCATTCTGGCTGACATCAGGAGAGCAAAAGTCAGTGCCCCAATACCTAAAAAACAAACGTCAGGTTAAAGATCTGTGCGTTTGTTTATTTCAAGATTTTTAAAAAGAGTATCTACTGTTACAAGTCAAATGATGTATAGTAGTCGAATGTCTTTTAAAAAATAATAATTAAAAAGTTTTAAAAAAAGAATAATAATAAAAATTGGGACCAGCAGTTAGCGTAATGGCTATGTCGCTGAACTCCCATGTAGCCGACTATGGTTAGAGTCCCAGACCCAGTGGCTTAAACTCACGCCGGGTACGTGTGCATGCGTGCCCAAGATCCCGAGAGGACAACGGAGGAGAAGGGATTGAGGCGTGACCATCCCCCCTGGGGGTTGATTTCTCGCTTTCTATCTCTCTATCTCTGTCTTTCTGGTGAGCCCATGTGCCCTATAGCAAAAACCTTTCAAAAAAAAAAAAAAAGAAGAAGAAAAATTTAAAAAAGAGTATCTGCTGGCTGTTTAAATTTTATAAGTACTATAAACTAATTGTAGAACAGGTACAAAATGTTAAAACAAAATTTAAAAACAAATACGTAAAAATCAACCATGTAGTATTAGTACCATCAAGTCCTTCATTGTTTCTACGTCTCTACCTATGTATCCATTTTTTATACTAAGGATGAGATTATACATACAATTTTACATCTTGCTTTTCTCATGATCTTTTCCTGGACTTTTCCTTCAAGTCATTGATTAAAATTTTTTCAAAAGTATAATTTAGTGTCTGATATTTAAATGCCTGACAATATAAACATAGTTAGCTTATGTGAGTTACTTCATTAAAAATCAATGTACATTCTTGTATAAAAATCTTTATAAACAAAATGTTGATTATTTCCTTAGAATAAACTCTTATGAGGAATTAATGATTCAAACATTATGAACACTTAAAAACTCGATACACAATATTTTTCCAGAAAGGCTATGTCAGTTTATACCCATATGAAAGTGGTTATCTTACGGCACCTTCCACAGTAATACAAATAATCATTTATTATCCTGTCAATACGATAGGCCAGAAATAAGGTATTGCATTTTGTTTCAATTTACATTTCCTTGATTACTAGACTGGTGAGTCTGAATATAACATTACTGGATATTAATTTCCCCCCCATGAATTGTATGTTCAGGTCTTTTGCAAATTTTTCCCACTGGACAAAGTATTTTTCTAAAGGCTTCATCAAAAACTATGTTAAAGGGACCAGCAGTTAGCGTAATGGCTATGTTGCTGGACTCCCACGTAGTCGACCACGGTGCGCGTCGCAGACCTGGTGGCTTAAAACTCACGCCGGGAGCATGTGCATGCGTGCCCAAGATCCTGAGAGGAGAATGGAGGAGAAGGAATTGCAGCGTGGCCATCCCCCCTGGGGGGGGGGGGTGATTTCTCGCTTTCTGTCTCTGTCAGGTGAGCACATACGCCCTATAACCAAAAACCTCTTAAAAAAAAAAAAAAACCTATGTTAAAAACAGCAATCTACAGGTATAAAGTTTCAAAGCCAAGAAGCAAGAACACAAATCTTCCACTGCAATTTCTTTTTTGAGAGGTTTTTGCCATAGGGTGTGTGTGCTCCCCAGACAGAGACAGACAGAGAGATAGAAAGAGAAAAATCACCCCCCAGGGGGGATGGCCACACCACAATCCCTTCTCCTCCATTCTCCTCTTGGGATCTTGGGCACGCACGCACATGGGCCCGGCGTGAGTTTTAAGCCACTGGGTCCAGGACGCGAACCGCAGTCAACTACATGGGAATCCAACGACATAGCCATTACGCTAACTGCTGGTCCCTTCCACCGCAATTTCTCCTCTACTTGATCAATCTGTTATTGCCATCACAGAAAGCACCTGGAAAGAGCGTCACCTCTGTATCATACAATGTGAGAATGAAGCTCTACAGGAGTTATCTGATTAACTCCACAAAAAAGATACTTGTATTTAAAAATAAAAAAAAACAAAACAAAGATATTCTGATGATCAGTGAGGTCTGGGAACACAGCCATATGGAACAACTAGTCTCCGAAAAAAATCAATCTATGATTTAGAAATGGATCTTGGAAATCTGGAGTCAATGTGCTCTTCTTTTACTGGACCTTCAGATTGGTGGGTGGATCATAAGAAACAGAGGCCATGGAAGGGCAAGTAGATGCATACTTCTGTCGTCAGTGGCAACCAAGAACAACATGGACCCATGGACCCATGTTGTAGAATACCCTGTCATGAATGTGGGCATTTTCTTCTTTTTGGTTCTTGGATAATAAAATTCAGAGATCTATGATCCCAAGTGCCCTTCTCTTCCATGGCAGAATTTGTTTAGCTGAAGCTTCTTGACAAGAAACGTGTCCCTTAGGAGAAAACTCAGCAAACACAACTACAGAGGCAATTAGCTTTATGGTAATTATGCACTTGCCTAGTAACCACCATACAAATGCCTGGAATCCATCATTCTCATTCAAGCTGGACTGGGAAGTCTAGGAAATAAGAAAATATACGAGGTTGAGAGACGAAAATTATATTCGAGGTGCCGAGGTACATGGAAATATTTATCATTTTTATCAATACTTAATCATTTTCCCTCACTTTTCTCTTTTAAGTATTTGAATCCTTGTATTATGTAAGCATTTCAATTTATTTTATAATTAATAAGCACCTGGTAACTGGGCCCCAATAGAAAGCAGCAAATATAAATGATTTGTGAAATGATTCTTACCACCTGCTTTGCTGACATGAAAGTGCAAATAAATATCCCCACCGACACCAGGGCAATGGAGGTATATTTGAAAATACTGTATCTGCAAAGATAAAAACAAAAACACCTGAGAAAAGCACGGGCACAAATTTCCCAATTGTATTTATAGTCAGGCAGTATATGAAAGTACGAATCTCAAAAATAAGACTGAAGGGATCACTTCCCAGCAGAGCCCATGTAAGTATGGACGTGAAGGAATCGGGTTGCTGACTGGTTTCCAAATGACACCTGTCCTTGACATTGTTGATGTTGTTTGAAACTGTTTCCAATAGTTTGTTGACCAACAGACTGTTTCATCAGAAAACAAAAACAGAAACGGACACAGACCAATGGTAATGTCTCACTCTGCCCTCAAGAGTTCAAATGGAAACCTGACCCAGACTTAGTTGAAAGCAGTTGCTGTTTTAGGAGCCCACACCTGAGCCCAGGTCACACACCCCCTCCACCACCTATACAAGAGGAAGAATGAGTATCGGGTACGAACAGCAGGATTCAACATTCAGTAAATAATTCAACCATTCTTGGGGGAGCTCAACCATTCTTGGGGGAGAGTTTTTGTTTGTTTTTAACCATCTGAATGAAGGATCAGCAGATGGGGTAATGATTATGTCGCTGGACTCCCATGTGTTGACTACAGTTCAAGTCCCGGACCCAGTGGCTTAAAATTCACACCAGGCCTGTGTGTGTGTGAGTGCCCAAAATCTCGAGGGGATAGTGGAGAAGGGACTGTGGCATTGCCATCCCCACTGGGGGGGTGATCTCTGGCTTTCTGTTTCTTTGTCTCTCTCTTTGTGTCTCTGGCAAGCGCATGAGCCCTACGGCAAAAAATGTCTCTTAAAAAAAAAATGTCTGAATGACTTAATGTTTTAAATGTTGGCATAGTTGGGGAAAAGGAGGAATATTTGATTTATAGCACTACAGAACTCATAAAAACAATGGCATTTCACTACAGCAGTGTCATTAGCATCCTCTTGGATTCTTGGTGATCAAGCAAGGGGCCTCAGGCGAGAATGAAAAGAAATAAAACTCAGAATAAACCTTCTGGGCTTTTCTATTCAAATACAGTTGTATGGTTCTGGTGACAGTTCTTCATAAAAGGAATAAAGAAAAGGAACTAAAAGGGCCAAGAGAACTACTAGAGAAGGTGGCAGGGTAAGAAAGCAGGCACCGTAGGACAGAGACATAAAAAATAACAGAGCTTTCCAGTCTGGGAAGATTAAGATGAAGAGGTTTACAACACAGGTCAAAAGATAATATAAAAGACATGGTTAAGGAAAATAGAAATGTGGTCTTCAAATGCTGGAATGAGCAGCATACTATGAACTGAAGAGATTTCTACACAAGATAATTAAAAGGAGGTAACAGGTTATTAATTCACTGTGTTAGACAGTTAACTTAGGGCAGTTCCTGCTCTATGGTATTAACGTCCAATGGGCAGAATTCTTCAGGAAGGATCCTAAGCGGCTAACTGGGGCTACATTTTACAAAAAGTCCAGCAGTCTGCTGACTAGAGTCACCCATGTATTCTGTGCTCCTGAGGGAAAAACACACACACTTATACACATAAATATGAACTTTTGGTCCTGGACCAATGGGATTGTGACTTATGTCAACCAATCAGAACTTAAACTTCAATCTTTCATTTGCATAGAGGATGTAAATGAGAACCTAGGAGAGAACTTGTCCCCTAGAAGGTCAGCTCCCTCCTTTGTTCCAGGAAAAACATGCTCTCGGCTTAGGCAGGAGGCCACATCTTCCTGGTTTGCTAATCTTTTCTGAAACACAGCCTCCTTTACTCTCAAACCTCTTTTCAGAGACATTTGCTAACAATAAGTGACATATACAGAAAAGAGGAGGTGTAGGTAGATAAGGTCAAGATAACTGACTCAAAACAAGTTCTGAAGGATAGCTGAGATGTTTGAGAAAGTCCTCTGACACTTTAAGGCAATAAGAGATAGGATCCCTTTCACAGTATTTTCTATTGTATCCTTGTATGGGCCATGTCAAAGGTTAGGAAGGACCACAGTTCTGTCCCAAAGGAGAATTCTATGCTACCAAGAAACACAATCATCACTTCAAACATAAGCCTGAACAATAATATATGGATGCTTAAAAGCAGAGAACCTAGAAGAATGAACTAAACTACAATGGCATTTATTGAGTAATATGCAAGCCTCAGGAGATAAAGGGACCATAATAAGGAACCTACTAAGCACATGCAGCCTTATTTTGAGACAGTTCTTATTAATTAAAACCTCTAAGGGTCGGTGATGCAGTGGTAATAAAACTAGACTCACATAGGAAATCCTGGATTTGGGGCCTGGGACTATCTTTGAACATACCAGCGTGTGCATGTGCTCATGACCTGGGCCAGCTGAGATGGGGGGTAAACTGTGACATAGAGAATGTTGGGGTGCCTGTCGTGCATGTGCTCATGACCTGGGCCAGCTGAGACGGGGGGTAAACTGTGACAAAGAGAATGTTGGGGTGCCTGTCCTTCTCTCTTTTTCTCTCATGGAAAATAAATAAATAAACGTCAAAAAAATTGAAAATGCTAGGTGTCCACATTCTGAATTATCAGTCACTTAAAAAAAAAGAAGTTCATTCACTTATTTCTTCCATGAGAAAGAGAAAGACAAAGATAGTGAGAGAAGAGTGACAGTGAAAGGCGCTCCCAACAGGGATCTCCATGCCATGATCCACCCCTAGCCTCACCTGGCCTGGGTAATGGGCATGTGCCTGCTTCACACATACAGGAGGCCTCAGGACATGAACCTGAGACTTCCGCATGTGGTCCGCCACCACACTGCCTTGCGTTATTCCTGCACCACTAACTGGCCACTAGACACCTACTCTCCAGGCAGGTGGAGACAGTTCTAATACTGGGGCTGAATAATGACACATTGAAATGTTGCTACCCACATGTACAACTTGGGTCTTAACAGTGAGAGCAAACTTTGCCTGAGACATTTTCCAGACTGCATGAGTGCCATCTCTCCCGAACTCCTCCTTGGGAGTGAGCAGTGAGGCTCAAAATGAAGATAAGCCACAAATACTTTTTTTTTTTTAAAGGATTTTTGCCTAGGGTGTGTGCACTCACTGGATAGACAGAGAGAGACAGAGACAGAGAGACAGAAAGTGAGAAATCACCCCCCAGAGGGGATGGCCATGCTGCAATCCCTTCTCCACTCTCCTCTCAGGATTTCAGGCACGCATGCACACATGCCCAGTATGAGTTTCAAGCTGCCAGGTCTGGGACTCGAACTGTGGTCAACTACTTGGGAGTCTAGTTTTGTAACCATTACACCATCTGCTGGTCCCAGAGCCACAGATACTTTAAAAAAGTTGGGGGTTGAGACACCAGAGCAAGATGGCAGTGTGAACCCTGTGCACCCATGAAGTGGCCTAGGCCATTGGCCTTTTACTGTAGGCTGCCCCCTGTAGCCTCCTGCCTGGCTCTGGAGATTGACTTCTTCAGACAACAGATCTCAAGAAAGCTGGTTAAAATCCTGACTTGTCTGGAAAGTTGATCCAATAAAAGCTCACTCTAATCTTCTGGCCAAAAAGACAAAAGGCAGTCTGTACAAATTAGTTTCACAAGGTTAAACTAAAATGCCCAGAAGCATATGACAAACTTTCACAAAGGGTGTTGCCCAAGATTAATGAAGATAAACATTACCCTTGTACTTCAGCGGGGAGCATGTGGTGTGGCAAACAAGATCAAGCCGTCTACCTCTGGAGGTCTGAAGGTGCCTATCCAGCTCTCACAGAGGTCATGAACAAACACAGAAAATCAGGAAAGTGTAGAATTCCGTAAGGCAAGAAACAACATGTCTCTCTCCAGAAAGAACCAGTTGCTACTGGAATTTAGCCTTTGGAATGAGCCCGTCCCATGGTCAGGACCTAATACATATGAACTCAGGTCTTACCTACTCTGACCAGGAGCCGATACTAAATGGGGTGAATTCCTGGGCTCAAGCAATTTTTTTCAGGCAGGACGGTAATGAAGCCGTTGGACAATTTTTCTCAGGGTGGGCAGCTGTCTATGGTGCATCATCTTTGGGCGTACAAGGATCTTTAGACCAGGAAGATATATGGAATGCAGCATGGCATCAACATGGCTGGGAAGAACTGGTCTATTATACGGTCCCACTTATTCCAGAAATGGAATCCAGAACTATGATCCCTCTGAAGACCTCATCCCTCCAGTAAAGCGAGACAATTTGTATGTGCCTATATAAGTATATGTGACAAATATCTGTCATATATTCATTTTAATTGTGTATCAAGTAAAAAAGAAACACTGAAATGTAAACTGCTGTGTATAGCTTAGGAGAGACCTAGTTTCTTTAAAATGTATAGTCACAATAATGGCGACTATTACAGTGGGGCTGATCACCACCATGCTCTCTTGGAAACACCTCTGTTTGCAGAATAGATCTCACAATACATAACCACTCCTCCACCTCCCAGGAAAAGGCGACTTGGGTGAAAATTAGAATCATCTAACCATGAAAAAATGAGCAATTTCTTTATAAAAGGCAAATCTGTTTTATATCATCACCAATTTTTAGACAAATGTCTTGTACCAGGAAGACATAAAGATTTTATTTTGTTCTCTAGCAGTTTTTTTTTTTTTTGGAGAGGTTTTCGCTATAGGGCGCATGCGCTCGCCAGACAGACAGAGACATAGAGACAGAAAGCGAGAAATCACCCCCCAGGGGGGATGGTCACGCCGCAATCCCTTCTCCTCCATTCTCCTCTCGGGATCTTGGGCACGCACGCACACGCGCCCGGCGTGAGATTTAAGCCACCGGGTCCGAGACGCGAACCGCGGTCGACTACGTGGGAGTCCAGCGACATAGCCATTACGCTAACTGCTGGTTCCCTTGTTTTTGTTTTTTTAAGAGACATTTTTGCTATAGACCACATGAACTCGCTGGAGAGACAGAGAGACAGAAAGCAAGAAATCACTCCCCAGTGGGGATGGTCACACTGCAATCCCTCCTTCTCCATTCTCCTTGTGTGATTTTGGGCATGCACATACACGTGCCTGGTATGAGTTTTAAGCTTTAAGTTTTTCAGGACTCAAACTGTGGTCCACTATGTGGTTGTCCACTGATGTAACCATTACGCCATCTGCTGGTCCCACCTAGCAGTTTTTCAGAACTTCAAATTAGGATCAAATGATGAGTGTATCCAACACCTGAAATGTTTTAACTCACTCTTTATAATCTGTCAGTGTAGTACAGTATGTCATTACTGAGCTGGTAGTGGTGGACAAGGTACATTTAATCCGTAAGTCAGTCTTCAGGTACATTTAATCTGTAAGTCAGTCTTCACACAGTGCATTGTGTCTCCATGTTCACAGGCAACAAATAAATGGCTTGAGCCTACATGTGTGATTTTGAAATAAACACCTCAAATAGCAGATAATGTTTATCTGTAATATTTTTCTGTTCAAGACAAAGTAGCATTAAGAAAGCAGGTTTTATTTTGTAAACAATCATTTGTGACCTCAAACATTCTCTGGTTAATATTTTAGTAGGCACACAGCAGATACTTCCAAGATCACTCATGAAGGGTGGTGCCTGTGGAGATTTAAATTGGCATAAAGCTACATCTTTTGTCTAGCTGTTTGATTGTAATAATTATTTTATTTAACTTTATTTCTTTATTTTAATTTGATCAGAGATGGACAGAATGAGAGAGAGAGAGAGAGACAGAGAGAGCAAGCCGCCAAGTCTGGGACTCGAACCGTGGTCGGCCATGTGGTAGTCCAGCGTCCTTAAACACCACAACACCTGCCAGCTCCTTGATTTAGTTTATTTAATAACAGTGTGCCAATTTTGTGACTATAATCATGTGAAAGTCCTGTTGAAATGAAAAATTATGTCTGTCCCACAAATTAAAAAATTTATGTAAAAAATGAAATGAACAAATGAAGAATGAATGAAATAAGTGAATAAATCTCCTATCAACTGTCTAACATTTTTCACCATAGAAATATGTGAATGGTTTTTCCAAGAACATATAAAAATCAATAAAATCCTCTTAATTTAAAAACCAAAACCAAAAAACCTAAGTATTCTGTAACACCTCCAACCCAATCCAGAGAGAGCAAATGGTGACAGTCAAAACAGACCTGAATGCTGGGAACCATATGGTAGAATAAGGATCTAACCAAAAGAAAAATGAGACTGGGGAACCAGCAGTTAACGTAATGGCTATGTCGCTGGACTCCCATGTAGTCGACCGCAGTTCGCATCCCGGACCCGGTGGGACAGCAGTGTCCCACAGAACTTCTGTGATGCTGGGAATGTTCCGGGCTGTGCTCTCCAATATGGCTGCCACCAGCAACATGGGGCTATTGAGCGTTTATGGTGTGATTAATGAGGCTGAGAAACGAAGTATTTAATATTACTTAATTTTAAGTATCTTAAAGTGTGAATAGTCACATGTGGCTAGTAGTGACCAAGACTGCACAGTAATGTCTATATCAATTGGCTTCTTGGGTAAGTAGGGTGGTAAGGAGGCAATGATGACAAGAATTCATCATTTTTATACAGAGAAAGAGTCCAAGGCCACAGGTGGGGCCTCAGACCTGGTCAGACCTAGGAAATTGCATCATTATGCATCACTGTTAGAGAAAGAACTAAAAGAAGAAGTGGATGGCCAAGAGCACACTTATCTACACTGTGGGGAAAGAATCCCGATGACTTGACTCGCTTATCGAGGGTGGCTCAGGATGCCATTTCTACACATAAAATTAAAAAGTGTATGGTTTACCTTTTCTTCAAAATGATAATTCCTAGAATCATGTTGGCAATTAGAGAGCCCTATAAAAGGAGACAAAAACAGAAGGTTTTAGTGTACCAAGGAAAAAAAAAAACCACTTAATTTGAGATGAATATAAACACAGACAAAGGGGAAAATACAAAATGAAGACAGCTAGGATGAACAGTTAATAAAGTTCAGTTCTCATGATGGCTAAACATAAAAATCGATCATGTAAAATAAAACCTTTTAAAGATGTCAATAAGAATAAAAATAATCAATTCTCAAATTGATCATCGCTGAAACTACAGTTGTAAGAATACATGATATTATAGGTTTATTTTTGTCAAATCTTCCATCTATCTAATTTATGGGAGCTTTTAATAAGTTTTTCCCCATTCCCAGTTTTAATTAAATAAATCATATAGGGAACTCTCTCTTCTCTGGAAAGGTATCAATCAATCAGCAAGAATTTATTAAAAGTCTACTATGTGTTCAGTGTTTGAAGGTCATCTTAATAACTGTAATTAGCTCAGGAAATTCTCCACAGAAATAGTGCACAACCTCACAAAAATCTCAGACTACATGGAAGCGTTTTCATTCTGATGATCAACTATTTTGCATTCTCTTGCGATCCAAACTCCAGCCCCCTTCAAGTCTTGCCTACTTTTCAGATGTCACTTCGCTCTTACTTATATATATACTACACACAATTCTCCCCCTACACATTAGGCAAAGGAGAAAGCCTGTATTGCTTTAGGAGAAATCCTACATTCATCAAGAATTTCCCTTTATTCCCTCAAATCTTTGCTTAAGAAGCAATCAGAAAAGAGAAGTATCAGGGCCAGCACATGGCATGGTGGTTGGGGTGCTGGACTCCTACATGGCTGCCCATAGTTTGAGTCCTAGACCTGGCAGCTTGCCTTCTCATGTTCCCTCTCTCTTTCTCTCTGTCCCTCTCAGGTCAAATTAAAAAAACATGGTGGTTGGGGTGCTGGACTCCTACATGGCTGCCCATAGTTTGAGTCCTAGACCTGGCAGCTTGCCTTCTCATGTTCCCTCTCTCTTTCTCTCTGTCTCTCTCAGGTCAAATTAAAAAAAAAAAAAAAGAAATGATGATGATGATAAATAAAATTAAATAAATAATTCTCTTTTTTTGGGAGAGGTTTTTGTTATAGGGTGTGAGCACTCACCAGAAAGACAAAGAGAGACAGAGACAGAAAGTGAGATCACCCCCCAGGGGGAATGGCCACATCACAATCCCTTCTCCTCTGTTCTCCTCTCAGGATCTTGGACACACACGCACAGGTGCCCGGCATGAGTTTAAGCCACTGGGTTCGGGACTTGAACCGTGGTTGACTACATGGGAGTCCAGCGACATAGCCATTATACCATCTGCTGGTCCCAAATAAATAATTCTTTCAAAAAAAGAAAAGTATCTGTTTTATGTACAAGAAGTCAATGTAATTTTATGGAAGAAAAAAGAAAAACCCCAAGAAATAAGGGATAAGAAGTTAAAGGACATTAATAGCAAGTTTGAATATAAAATCAACCAGACGAAAGACATGGAGGGTAAAGTCTACTTCTCAGGGAAATTTTAATGTTCTGTTTTTAATTAATCATCCGTTAGAGAAACAGAAGTAAGCCATCCACTTTCACATGTCTCTTTCTGCCTTACTTCTCAGAAGAAAGTCACGTTGCTCATTCCTAAACCCATTCTTATACCCTAAATTTCACTTAGTACCAGACCTTTCTACTTTTGCCATATGTTCAATCTTTCCACTTAAGTTTTTCAGAGGAACATACACGGGTGAGCTGGCAGCACTTACAGATCTAAATATCATATGCAGGGGCATGGCGATGTTCAGATTGAGGGCGTAGTTGTTGACCACGCTGACGGTGAAGAACATGGCGACCATTACGACATAGTACCTGAAACAGAGAAGACAGCACATCACATGGGATCGACTATTTCAAGAATGCAAGTAAGAAGGAAACAAATATTTTTGGTTATAAAAGTATTTTGCTCATTTCTTCTGCAATAAGACTATATCACTATTACCATATGAAGTCAACTATAAAGCACACACAAAAATACTTCACAGAGACAGACTAACATTCACAGAATACAGTGAAAGAAATACTATGTTAATATTTTTCAAGTAGATACAGTGCTTAAAATGAGTCTTTTAAAATGTTCCTTAATATGGGGCCAGCAGGTGGTGTGGTGGTTAAGGTGCTGGACACTCCCACATGGCCGACCATGGTTGAACTCCTGGACCTGGTGGCTTGTCACTTTCCCTTTCTCTCTCTCTCTCTGTCTCTCTCTCTCTGGTCAAATGAAAATGAATGAATGAATGAATAAAATTCAATAAATAATTCTTTTTTTAAAAAAGTACTTAAAAAAAGCTTTAAAAATAAAAGGTTACCTACTAGGGTTTTTAAAAAGTGAATGAATGGGACCAGCAGATGGCAGAATGGTTACATCACTGGACTCCCACGTGGTCAACCACAGTTTGAGTCCAGAACCTGGGTGCTTGAAACTAATGCCAGGCATGTGTACATGCATGCCCAAAATCCCAGAGAAGAATGGAGGAGAAGGGATTGTGGTGTGGTCATCTCTGGGGGATGATTTCTTGCTTTCTGTCTTTCTGTCTCTCCAGGTAGCACATGCACCCTATAGCGAAAAATCTCTCTCTAAAAAAAAAAAAAAGAAAAGAAAATGGATAATCTTCATTTGATAAGTCAAGGTTTATTTTTAGCCTTGCAACTTTCAAATTACCCTCTGAACCAGTGACTTCTGAATAAACCAGTATATCATTTGACTTGTACAGATCTGTATTCAAAATTAAGGTTTCTAGTTTCTGAAAGTTTATAGGTCTTAAAATAGTAATAAAACAAAATACATTCAGTAACTATAATAATTTAGAAAAATAAATGGATACACATAAATGATCAATTATAAACAAGGACTGAAATAAATAATTTTATTATTTGTACATCTCCAGTTTGTTCTCATTGTAAGAAAATATTTTTGGGGTCAGCAGTTGGCATGGTGGTTAAGGTGCTGGACTCCCACATGGCTGACTATGGTTTGAGTACCAGAACTGGCAGCTTGCTTTCTCACTTTCCCTCTCTCTCTCTGGTGAGTGCACATGCCTTATAGCAAATTAAAACAGCAACAATAATAATAAATAAAATTTAAAAATAAATATTCTTTAAAAAAATACTTTCATACCTATGTGTAATCTTCAAAATGTATATTATGGAAAAAAATGCATGGGTTTCAAAATTCTTCCCACCCAATTAACTCATACTTCAATTCCACTTTTTTATAAACTTTTTGAAATGTCCTCATATTAGGTTAAACCACATAAAACTACCACTTTTTTTGTAAGTCAAAGACTTCACCACCGACACTCATGTGATTCAACCCAATGCATTCGAAGAAGATTAAAAAGCAATACTTAAACTATTAAAGAATACAGGGCAAAGATTAATAAGTAAACACATTCTTCAGGAAGTGGTGATCTTTGAGCACAGATTCCCAACTATTTGTACATCAGAAGGATATGAGAACACTAAGTCCCAAGTCGTCGTCTCTGACCAGAACCTGCTCTGCTGCTGGTTGGATGTGGGGCTACACAATGAACAACAGATAGCCAAGCCAAGGCCAAGTTAACACAGGTGGAAAGTTGGAGGAGCCCGACCAGGAATCAGACCACGGTATTACATAGAGGCAAAATTATTAGCAGCTGCTTCTTCATAGCTTCTGAATAATACACTACCGATGACTTCACAAGGTTTCTTGTCAAATATTCTCTGCCTTGAAGAGAGATGTTATTTGGAGACAAAGGGAGTTTGTCAAAGTCTTTCGTGATAATTAATTCAACCAATCCACATTGCTGCCTACCTAGCACTGCCTACAAATGGCTTAGGGGGATGCATGACATGGCAAGATTTTTGTTATGGCTCTGCACATGGAAAATAGGGGCCAGCAGGTAGTATGGTGGTTAAAGAACTGGAATCCCACATGGCTGACCACAGTTCAAACTCTGAACCTGGCAGCTTGAAAAACAAGCTGGGCTTGTGTGTGTGTGCCCAAAATCCAGAAAGGAGAAGGGATTGCAGTGTGGCCATCCCCCTGGAAGGGGGGGAAGGGGGAGATTTCTCAGTTTCTCTTTCTCATTGTCTCTCTCTGGTGAGCCCATGTATCCTTTGGCAAAAACTTTGAGGAAAAAAAGAAAATAACCACCACGAACAGGACATGCATGGGAGTATGGTTGTGAGGGCAACATCATAGAGAACCTATAAGACAGGGTGGGGAGCTTAGACTTCATTTGCACACCACAGAAACCACTGAGGGGGAAGACAAGACAGATAGGTAAAGTTGAAATGCAGGGATGAAGGGGTGGGAGGCAGGGATGTCAGCTAGCCAGCACACTATTACAATGATTTCAGCAAACACTTCCCTTATCTAGGGGAATGGGTGAGGGAATGGTAAGAGACAGTGCAGAGCCAGAGGAGTGACAAGTGCTGGGGTTCCTACTGCAGTGGAATTGCTGGTCTGTAGGAGCAGAAAAGTTTACACAGATATTAAAGCCAATGAAAAGGAAGAAAAAAAAAAAAGAAAAAAAAAAGGATTCAGAATATTTAGCATTACAGTGGGAAATTTAAAAGTGCAATATTGACAATAAAATTTAGTCAGATTTTGTATTGCAGGCTGTTCAGAAATGCTGCAAAAGGACACAACAAGGATGAACTTGAACTTCAGTGCTCAGATATATTCACATCAGAAAGTCGCTCTCAAAGGGAGCGATGCTGTCCTACTAACGACGCACAACTGGAAGGGTTACACTTTCACCTCAAGTCTCTCCCAGCAAGAATGCTAAGTTTTCAAAGCACTGCTGATTACCATTTCTACTGGGTCCCATGAGTACAGTTATGCAAATCTGGACTACTGGACAGGGGGCTGTCATCAACACTCTTGACTTAGCATGCCACTCATTTTCTTTGAATTGAAGTAAAATTCACATAACATAAAATTAATCCTTTTAAGAACAATTAAGTGGCATTGAGTACTTTCACAATGTTGCAGAAATACTACTTCTATTTCCAAAAACAGTATGTTTTTAAAAAACACAACGGTACCACTCTTAGCACCTTTGATAACTTTAGCAACCAGAACACAGCAGACATAATTATTAACGATCTGTAGTCACACTCGGCCTTCTGACTGACCCTTACTAAGATCACACACACACACACACACACACACACACACACACATAAACACACACCTGTCTCCATCATGATTATTTAAGATATTATGGCAAAATTTTTCTTCTAAAATAGGCTCCCTGGAGTTTCACAATATATTAAATGTAGAAAATGAATGATTATCCTACTGATATCTTTGATATAAAAGATAAAAGGATGCCTCATACTCCTTTTATGGGGATACAACCTCTTCATTTTCTGGAGGGAAAAGAAAGTTGAAGAGACTGCAATAAGGCCATACCTTATTGGGATAGCAGGCGGCTTCCTTCCCAAATCAGCTTCAAAGAGGAAGCCTTCCACAGCAATAAACAAAAATTGTGCAAATGTCACAATGTTCCCACATCCTGG